CCCACCACTCCAGCAACCCTCAGTTTGTTTCCTGAGATTGAGAATCCCTCCTATCAGTGAGGTCATAGGATACATGTCTTTCTCTGATTGACTTATTTCAGATTTTTAGATGGAAATGTTGGTAGTTTCTAACTCTGATGAGTCTACACATAAGGGCAGACAGTAGAGGAATCCAGGTAGGAAAACTTGATTTCATCCGGCATCTGTGCTTTGACTCCCAATCTGGAACACCTGCAGGATAATTGAGTTGCTTTTCCACGTGGTTTGGGCACCGTGGATAGAGGTGCTTCTCTTACCGAGAACAGAGAAGTGAGCATGTGGGGGCCGCAGGTGTGCGGCTCGGTTTCCTCTCTCTTTACAGACGCAGGAGGCAGGAGCCCACGGGAGAAAGAGCATCGTATCTTTCTCGCTTTGCGTTTTGGTTTTGCCACTTAAAGATATACAGTATCTGGTATTTCACATTCCTCACGGAGCCTTATTTTCTTACTGATCTAACAGGTTTGTGAGACGGATCAACTAAGATGAAGTACCTAAAGTGCCGGGCGATAGTCATCATAACACAGTAAACATTTCGTGAGGCCACACCCTGTGCCAAGTGCCTTCTATTTGTTACGCTTACAACAAGAACCCTACAAGATAGCTTAATTTCCCCCTTTGACAGATCAGGAAACAGAGGCTCTGAGAGATTTAGTAACCTGTCCGAGGTCATTCAGCTAGTAATTGGTGCAGCTGCGTTTCAGATCTTGGCATTTGAGTCTGGCGCTCATACGACTTCATTAGTTTTGACTCTGTTAGAGTGTAATGTAGAAGCTGTCTTTCCAGACAGGGGCAGCATGGTCCCCAGTACTCAGTGTGCGCTACCCATAAGTGTTTGTTACTCTGGAGGAGCTCCTGGCTGGTGAGAGTGGATGTGATCCTGACAGGGCTAGCTGGAATGTATGTTCACACAGAAAGCATTCTAGATGGTTAGGGGTTACTGCACTAGAATATCTGGACTGTGTTAGAAAGGCTGTGTGAGCAAAACAGTTAAGCATGTTGTCTTTGAAATCAGGCTGTGGAGATGAAATCCTCACTCCTCCACCCACTGGTTATGTGACCATGGCAGAGTTTCTTCATCTCACTGAGCTGTGACCTCCTCACCTATAAGTAAAGATGGTAATAGGATATACGTTATTGGATTATTTTAAGGATTAAATGAGTTACCACATGTAAATCCCATGGATCAGTGACTGGCACATGGTAAATTCTCAATAAGTATTATTATTATCATTATTATTTTTACTTCTTGAAAATAATGGATTTTATAGACTTCCATGGATTGACCTGGAAGTCCAAGTGCTGTTTATAAAATATTCCGAAGAAGAAACTATATTTAGAATTAACAGTAGTCAACTTAGTATAACCTTTGAATTCAGTCAACTTTATATTTGAATACAATTTATAAATTAGAAACCATCAATATAGTGTACTTCCATTATAAACATGGGAAGGGAGAAGACATCTGGTAAATTCTGGTTGTCTGCCAGTTATGAGGATTACCGGTGATCAAATATAAAGAATATCATATATACTTTATATAATTGGATCCCTCTCAAAGGTAGGGGCACCCGAGGGTCACCATCTGGGACAGCAGTTATCCTAGCAATGCAGCTAATGGAGATTGGACTGAACCTCGATTCACTAGTTTGCTCACAAAATACTAAGTATATGAAAACATACATTCCTAAAATATATATTATTTGTAATGTTTGGTTCAGGAGTTCAGCATATTTCATCCTGAGTGCAGCTCGGGACTGACAACAGTGGAAGTTAGAATTAAGCATGCATATAATGTGGAAAATGTCTTCGAGTGTAGTTTCCACTTGAGAACTTAGCCCTCGTGTGAAGCTCTTGACATCCTTACCTGAAGCTTGGCTCTGTCCATGTGTCTCTGCCCCCAGGAGCCCGGGAAGCGCTCCCAACTGTGGAGGATGACCGGCACAGGCATGTTGGCCCACGAGGGATCTTCAGTGCCTCACAACCCCAATAAGCCCTCTGCGGCCCGCTCCCCGGAGGGCTCCGCCATCTTGGATATCGCTGGTCTTGCTGCAGTAACTGACAACAGGTACTTTTCTAGGCAACTTTTGATGCACGCCCATTGCTTCCAAACTCCGTTTCAGTGGAGGTACACGCCAAAAAGTGAGTATGTAAATGAAGTAAGAATTTGTATTTTTAGATTTGTATTTTTCTTCAGTGAGAGACCCGTCACATTCCCAAATATGACTTTTGGGTCTTTATTTTATTTTTGTTAAGCTGTTGTTGAAATGCCCATGTAGGTCAAACAGTAAGAAGGGTATGTTACGAAAAAGTGAATTATCTCTTTCCACCAAACCTCTATCCTCCATTCTTCCCTAGAAATGAGCCGGTTTTTAAAAATCTTTTTAAGAATTCTTGTTAAATATTTCAAAAGCAGAAATAAATTATTGAGAGAATAATCAAATGTGTTTTTATGACCAAATCCTTGGGTTTGAATCCATTATCGGGGACAAAATAAGTTATTTGGTTTGCTTATGCCTTAGTTTCTTTATGAGGTCAGTGTGTTTGTTTTCAGTTGGTACCTTATTCACTTCCGTAAGTACTTTACATGACTTACAAGTGAAAACCCAATATAAAATAAAAATAATTGGGAATTAAATAGGAAAAAAACCTCTAGAAAATATTTCTCAAACTGCATGACAGCTCGTCACTGTGGGAATGCAGGGACCTGATTGTCACATCTATTGTGAATCCTTAAAAGTACTGGTACTCCTTTGTGGCCCCTTGTTCATTGCTTTCCATTTTGTCTTATTCCTCTTTCCTCCTTAAGAGATACCTCGCTGCATGGGATGCAGGCTACCTGCCCATTAGGTTTTAAGGGTGGAGGATATTGGAAGAAAGAAGAGCAAAACCACGATCCTGATAACTCTCTTCATGCCTAACATATTTGACTCCGACGACTCACTGCATTGTCCTGTCTTCCAGATTTGAGCCACTGATGCTGAGAAAGCCGGATCGCAGGCGAAGCACAACTCAGACGTGGAGTTTCCGGGAAGGAAAACTGACCTGTGGCCTGCACGGGTTGGTTGTCCAGGTCAGTAGTGTTTGACACCCTCAGTTGCAGCAAGCAGTGGTTGAACCTTCTTTGAAGCAAAGTCTCAATTAAGATAAATACACTGAAAGGGGGAGATCATTACAGAGATCATTACAGAGCAAGTACGCATTATTTCGTTAGAGTCAGGAAGGTCAAGGAACTTTGGTTGTACATCTGTGTATTTACAGGGAAGATATTCTTGAAGGTGATCTATGAGAAATGTATTGGGAATGGTTGCCCATAAGTAGTGGGATTTTTTTTTTTCTTGGCTTATCTGGATTATTTTTCTTTGGTTGTATAGATTACCTATGTGGGGTATCTGGGTGGCTCAGTTGGTTAAGCGTCTGTCTTCAGCTCAGGTCATGATCTCAGAGTCCTGGGATTGAGTCCCACAGTGGGCTCCCTGCTCAGCGGGGAGTCTGCTTCTCCCTCTCCCTCTGTCTTTACCCACTTGTGCTCGCTCTCTCTCTCTCAAATAAATAAAATCTTAAAAAAAAAAAGTTTAAAAAAATTACCTATGTAATTTTTAAAAGAAAGAAAGAAAAGTGCCAGCTAAAAGCCCACCACTAAGTTAAGTGGATTAATTTTAGGCCTGTGGAATTAATCTAATATCTACAACAGTCTTCTGTGAAGTATTCTAGGCGATGGTAAGCAGTCATCATGCGCTCTGCATTCTCTAGATTCTGTTTATTTCTGCATTCTTAGTGGTGCCCAAATAAGCATTTAATTATTGTAGCAAATGTCAGAATGAAGATGGCTGGTCAGTTTCCTCTGTCCTCCACCAGTCTATCCCATGATAAATTGCCGGGGATGTCATAAGAAAACATGTGTTTAGAAAATGACCAGGAGTTTGGATTTTCTGCCCTTCTGGCTTCAGGCCAGAAATGAGACCATGGATATGGGATGAGGAGGTAGGAAGTCGTCACAGAGGTTTGGGCATATAGCTGAACATGTGTGATGTGGTGCAGTTTCTGCCTCAGCCCAGGGCTTTACCCAAAAGGTAAACAGGAGAGCATCAGGCCCTGGCTAGAGGACCCTTAGTGTGTTTGTTCCTGGTGGACACCAGGCTGTCCCTTCACAGTGGGAGGTTGTTCACCAGGGCAATGAGCAAAATTGGAAGGAGCCTCCGCCTGCTGCTTGGTGAGATTTATTTTCTTTATCTCTCCTGCCCTGAGCTTTTTCTGTCAAACACAAGCTGCTTACTTCTATGAAGCACACATCTGGAATGGATTTGTGATTTTCAATTAGCAATACAATTCAGGCTTCTGGAGGCAAGAGAGGGCACGTTGTAATTGTTGGGCCCCGGGTCTGACCCGGACTTCCCTTCCGGTTTGTTCCTAAAGCCCATGTAATTCGGATTCTCGTAGAGCAGCACCCCCACCCCCATCCTTTGCTGGTGTTTGTTGTTTCTTGAATCTTTTTCATCATTCCTGTGGTTGTGAATGACCCCATAATAACAGCATTCAGCTGAGCAGGGTGTGCTTTGGTTAGGGAAATAAGCTTGTTTCGATCATATTATTCTAAATAAAGTAATTGAAGGCATTAAACATCTGACACTGCCCTGATAAGGTTGTGTACGCACTTTCTTTCCAAACTTACAACAATCATAAAAAGCTTTCTCCGTGTTGAAATCTGTTCTGTAAACCCAGCTCAGAGTTGCCTTTTCATTAGTCAGTATTTAAAAACAAAGGGGATCAAGACACGCTAGCCATTATCTTCTCTAGCCCTGTATCTGCTGTGTCCCATAGACTTCTGTTTTGTTTGGGGCAGAGAGCAAGAAGATACTTTCCTCCAAAGGTCTGAATAGCTGGCTCTCAGAGGACATTCACCGTTCCCTGTTTCATTTTAGAAGAGGCACCATCTTTTGAATATTTGAGCTGACAGTCCAACCGTAGGCCTGTTTGCGGAGGTTTTCAACTCTAGAATTTGCTTCTTACTAGAAAGCTGAGTGATAGTTATAATTGCTACATTTTCAGAATGTTTTAGATTTTTAAGCAAACCTGAATGAGAATACTCAGAAACAGGGTTTTGGTACTTTTTTTAAAGCTTATTTTAATGACTGGAAGTTATTACTAAACCAATATGCTCTATTCTTACTCAGAATTCCCTAAATTCATATAGCATAACTTTCCATCTTGCCCAGGTAATCCTCCTGGTTTTCACCTTCAGTAAAGCTGAAGAAATAGTAAATGCTTTGTTAAAAATTGATCATGGGGCACCTGGGTGGCTCAGATAGTTAAGCGTCTGCCTTTGGCTCAGGTCATGATCCCAGGGTCATGGGATCAAGCCCCACATCAGGCTCCGGGCTTAGCGAGGAGCCTGCTTCTCCCTCTGCCTCTCTCCCTGCTCATGCTTTCTCTCTCTGTATCTCTGTGTTTCAAATGAATAAAAAAAAAAAAAAACTTTAAAAATAAATTTAAAAAATAAATAAATAAATAAAAATTGATCATGACCCTTCAAAAGAGAATTCAAATTTGATAACTTGTTTCAAATGACATGTTACATTGTCAAAGTCGGGGCCTTTCCCTTTTCTTACACATCTTTATTCTTTTAGGCCAAAGGAGGGCTTTCTGGTTTGTTTGATGGAGCTGAAGTTGTTCTTGGTCCTGATACTTCCATGGAGCTTCTGGGGCCAGTTCCACCTGAACAACAGTTTATCAACCAAAAACTGAGGCCTGGTTCTGGAATGTTATCCATCAGAGTCATCCCAGACGGACCAACTAGAGCACTCCAGGTGATGATTTATCATAAGAACTAACATGAATCTCACTGTACTTTCCCCCCACACATTGGTTAGTCATTCCACAAATATTTATTGAAAACATTTATGCTGGCTATGAGGATATGATGTCCTCGTTTATAAAATAGGGGTAGGACCTATTTCACAAAGTTGTTACATGAATTGAAGTATAAAAACATAAGATGATATTTAAAAAGTATAAGAATTAAAGAAGGCAATGCCAAGAATGGTACATATTATTATTATCGGTCATTATATATTATAATTGATATATTAACAACAAAGATACATGAGGTCCCTGGTCAGACAATGACAGTATTTTGTTTTCAAAGCAGGAGTGGAGGGTGTTCTACAGAGTATACAGGAAGGATTCGTATTCCTAGACTTGGAGGCTTCCTAAGAGGAGTAATATTTAAGCTGAGGTCTAAAGGTTGACTGAAAGGAGTTAGCCAAATCGAAAAGGGAAGGTGGAGGGGCTGTGCCCTAATAAGAAAAGTGTTCATTCAACAGTTACTTACTGAACACGTATTAGAGCCAAGCGCAGTTCTTGGTACTGAGCACGTACTACTGAACAAACAGACAAAACTCCCTGCAGTCTTGGAACTCACATCCTGGAGGGGTAAACAAACAATAAGCAAAAACATAATAAAGAAATAATAGAGGATTTGGGAAGTTGATAAGTGAAGGCCTGGCAATAAAAGGGGAATGGTCCAATGGGCACAGAGAGTATGCTCCGAGATAATGCTGGAGACAGAAGCAGGGGCCAGATTATTAAAAGCCTGATACATGCTGCAAATTTTGTGGTTTTTCTCTGGCAATGAGGAGTCAGGGAATGACATGACCAGAAATTTATTTTAGATTGCTCATTTCTGTCTGCAATGTGGAGGAATGGAGTGGATGAAAACTGGAGATAGATCAGCTGAGGGCAACTGCAGTGATCTGGATGAGAAATTATGGCAGCCCAAACTAGAGTAAATAGCAGGGGTGTGGCAGGGGTGGGTCCAAAGAGGTTGGAGAGAAACAGGCAGAAATGGAAGCTTATTAAGAAGTAGAGTCTGACCTATTTAGTGATTGAATGAAGATGAGGATGAGAGAGAGGAAGGAGTCAGGAATGGCTTTCAGGATTCTGATTTGGGCAACTATGAGGACAATAATCCATGTCACTAAGATATGAACACAGAGCAGACTTCTGGGAGACTTATATGGACTTGTATGCTATCTACAGACTTTTGGACTTATATGCTATCTACATGAAAATGTCTAGAAGTCAGTGTAAATATGGGTCTGGTGCTCAGAGGAGAGATCTGTGCTGGAGGTACATGTTTATCAGGTCATGGTGTAATTAGAGAGCTGAGGGAAAAAGGAAAGATGCTGGTGTGTAACAGTGAACTCTCCGAGGTAGTATGTCATAATCCACAATACCTCTTCTAAAAGCACCCTTCTTTTAGCAAACTTGAATGCAGTGATCTTGAGGTTTGTATATTTTGACTTGACCAATAATTCTAGATCACCTGTAGATGCCAGCCCCCCTATATGGGGCTCTCGAGGTCTGTACCTTGGCTTTTGCCATGTAGACTTAAAACCAAGTTTACTTCATTATTACCCAAGTCTTACTTGGCAGCGCTTCTGAAACCATTAACTTCCATAGGACTATTGAGCATGGAATGGGTTTCACTGTGGAAGTATGAACCCTCTTAGTACAGTGTTTTATTCGACTTCAGATAACAGATTTCTCCCAACGGAAAAGTGACCGTTCATCATACGAAGTGGATGAACTTCCTGTTACTGAACAAGAGGTACAGAAATTAAAGAATCCAGACACAGAGCAGGAATTGGAAGTAAGTTTTAAGTATTGCAAATTCATTTCTTTATCATTAATTTTTTAGAATTTTGCGCTGTGGTTTTCTCAGTTTTAGACCTCTTTCTGCCCTCTGAATTCCAAATATAGCTGTTGCTTCCTGGTGTTTATGTCATCACAACATGAATGTGTGAATATGTTAATTAAATGACAGCTAAAGTTGAATCAGAATGTAATAATGATTGCAAAAGTAAGATGAAAATGAAGAAAACTAAACTATTTGAATTTATACAAGGTCAAGAATAAGCAAACTAGATTTTTTGAGGGGCCCCAGTTTTCTCTTGTCATCTTTCTTCTTCTTTCTCTTGTTTGGGCCTTGGAAAGTGAAAAGTTTGAAAAGGAACATGAGGTAAACGTGAAAATGTACACTGGGGCGCCTGGGTGGCTCAGTCCGTTAAGCGTCTGCCTTCAGCTCAGGTCACGATCCCAGGGTCCTGGGATTGAGCCCCGCATCAGGCTCCCTGCTCAGTGGAGAGCCTGCTTCTCCCTTTCCCTCTGCTCCCCCCCTGCTTGTGCTTGCTCTCTCTGTCAAATAAATAAAATCTTAAAAAAAAAAAAGAAGATATATACTTATTGGATATTCAGTGATTTTTTTATGCTTATTTTTTTAATTTTATTTTTATGTTAGTCACCATACAGTACATCATTAGTTTTTGATATAGTGATCCATGATTTATTGTTTTCGTATAGCACCCAGTGCTCCATGCAATATGTGCCCTCCTTAATATCCATCACCGGGCTAACCCATCCCTCCACACCCTCCCCTCTAAAACCCTCAGTTTATTTCTCGGAGTCCATAGTCTCTCATGGTTTGTCTCCTCCTCCAATTTCCCCCTCTTCATTTTTCCCTTTCTTCTCCTAATGTCCTCCGTTCTATTCCTTATGTTCCACAAATAAGTGAAACCATATGATAATTTACTTTCTCTGCTTGACTTATTTCACTTAGCATCATCTCCTCTAGTCCCATCCATGTTGATGTAAAAGTTGGGTATTCATCCTTTCTGATGGCTGGGTAATATGCCATTGTATGTATGGACCACATCTTCTTTATCCATTCGTCTGTTGAAGGGCATCTCGGCTCTTTCTACAATATGGCTGTTGTGGACATTGCTGCTATGAACATTGGGGTCCATATGGCCCTTCTTTTCACTAAATATATGTCTTTGGGGTAAATACCCAGGAGTGCAGTTGCTGGGTCATAGGGTAGCTCTGTATTTAATTTTTTGAGGCACCTCCACACTGTTTTCCAAAGTGGCTGTACCAACTTGCATTCCCACCAACAGTGTAAGAGGGTTCCCCTTTCTCCACAACCTCTCCAACATTTGTTGTTTCTTGCCCTGTCAATTTTTGCCATTCTAACTGGTATAAGGTGGTATCTCAATGTGGTTTTGATTTGAATTTCCCTGATGGCTAATGATGATGAACATTTTTTCATGTGTCTGTTAGCCATTTGTATGTCTTCTTTTGAGAAGTGTCTGTTCATGTCTTCTGCCCATTTTTTGACTTGATTGTTTTTTGGTTGTTGAGTTTGAGAAGTTCTTTATAGATCTTGGATATCAGCCCTTTGTAGTGTCATTTGCAAATATCTTCTCCTATTCCATTCAGTGATTTTAAAAAAATTAAGGACCTACGTGTAAAGCACCATGTCGGATATTACGGAAGTCCAGTGAATAGCTTACTAAAAGCTTGCATCCCAAATAGGGAGAAAGATTCTCAAACAATTATTTTCCTATAATGAAATGCAGAATGTCCTCAGTCTCTGGGAAGAGGTATTATCATATCATATCACTTTGGAGTTCTGGATGGAGTAGGCACTGTGCCCAGAGAGAAAGTCTCCTAGTGAGAGGCTGGAGTTGGGTTTTTACCTGCTCAGAGGTAAAGTAGAGGGATTTAAAGCCATTTGTTTCCTTGCACTCTCCTGGCTACCTTGACCTCTGTTTTAAACTGTGTTGTATTTTGGTTTCCTTTCAGGTGCTTGTGAAGTTAGAAGGTGGAATTGGGTTGTCCTTAATTAATAAAGTCCCAGAAGAACTGGTCTTTGCAAGTCTTACAGGAATCAATGTGCATTATACGCAGTTGGCAACAAGTCATATGCTTGAGCTCAGCATACAGGATGTGCAGGTAATGGGGGTAGTTCAGAACTTGTTAAATCTCCTTATTTTCTTGCTGAGCACCCAACCAGATCCAGTGTTTGGTGTCCTAAGAACATTAATGCTTTGGCAGAGATATCTTTTATGGCCTTCAAAAAATTATTCTATGGAAATAATTGTTGCTGTCTATGTTTGTCTCACCAATTTTTCTATATAGTAGCCAGTTCATCAGTAACTTAGATAATTTAGTCCAAGTGGCATGGAGGAAAGTAGCCCATGGTTCACCATTTGCCCATAGGAAAAAATAACAGGAAATCATTTAACCATCGTTAGAGAAATTGGCGTTCATTATAGGGAGAAAAAAATAAGGGAACTGGACTGGTACTTCTGGCCAAGATGTACTAACAGGGACCAGATTTACTCTCCTACCTGAAGCAGCCCCCAAGTCCAGATAAAATAAGGAGACAACAGGTTCAAGGCACTGTAAATCAGGCATTGAAAAACAGTAACCCTTGAGAGGTGGGAAACAAAAGAGCTAAGCCCTGCATTCACCTCAGCTTACTGCCGTGAGAAAGCTTCCAGGCCATGGCACTGGGAGGGGAGACTAAGACAGAGCCCAGCAGAGTGGATGAGTTGAACAGGCCGGGCGGAGAGTCTGGGGACCAAGGCATCTAGAGTTTCACAGGGCAGCATACCTGGGAGGAGCATGCTACACAGAAAGAAGACTCAGGAGATCTACAGAGGGGCATTCAGCAGAGGACAGATCAGTGATGCATGTAAGGAAACTACCATCTGAACCATCCAAAAGGATCTCACAGGAACAGTATCTGCTGCTCACCCAGGGCTGGGAATGGGATTTGTTCCCCCAGCCAGACTAGAAACACTAATAACATATGTGACATTAGGAAGAGTCCTCCAGAAAGTCTTGCCTTCGTGGTGAACTGTAATTAGCCCTCGGCTGAGCACTGTTCCAGACCTACCTAACAAATCATAAAAGGAAAGTCTGAAAGGATCGATCTGTTTCCAAGTAATTTAACTGTATCCCCGAACAAAGCTCAAGATTTAATGGTATACAAAAATACCCAGCACCCAAAAAAGTAAAATTCACAATATCTGGCATCCTGTCAAAATTACCAGGTGTGCAAAGGGGCAGGAAAACACAATCTATAATGAGAATAATCAGTCGAACGGACCCAGAGCTAACACAGATGTTAGGATTTTCAGAAAGGACATTAAAACTGTTATTATAACTGCATTGTACATGTTCAAAAAAGTTAAGTAGAGACATAGAAGATGTGAGAAACTCAAACTTCTAGAGATTAAAATGAAATGAAAAACACACTGCATTCAATTAATAGCAGATGACACAGTACAGAAAAAAGATTAGTGAACCTGAAGACATAGCAGTGAAAACTGTCCAAATTGAAATGCCCAGAAGAAAATAATCCATAAAAAGAAAACAGCATCAGTGACCTATGGGACACCCTCAAGCAACCTAACACATGGATGATTGGAGTCCCCGAAGGCCAAGAGTAAGAGGGAGGCATATAGAAAATATTTGAAGACATCTTGGCCATACGTTTTCCTAATTTAATGAAAACTTAAACTCACAGATAGAAGCTCAAGCATGAACAGAGACACGTGCATGTGTGAGTGCACACACATGAAGGAAACTACCACCAAGGTACATCCTAATTAAATTACTCAAAAGCAGTGATGAGTCATCCAGGTTAAGCAAGACCTGTCACATGCCAGGAGCAAAAGTGAGAATGAGAGCTGACTTCTCATTGGGAATGATGCGAGTGAGAAAATAGTAATGTCTTTAAAGTACTGGGAGGAGGAATAACTGTCAGCCTAGAATTCTATGCCCAACGAATATATCTCTCAAAAACAAGAGTGGATCACCTCCGCCTGGTTCCTGGCAGGGGTGCTGTGCTGAGCCATGGGCTGAGGCAGCTCGTGTCTGGACGTGGGGCTGGAGCCTCTGCCCAGCCCCTTTTAGGCACTGAGATGCCCAAGAAGGCTGGTGTGACGAACAAGGGTACGAACCAGAGCAAGGAGCCAGAGAGAACACTTCCTCCCTTAGGTCCTGTGGCGCTTGATCCTGAAGGTCGTGTCACCATAGCCATCCATGCCAAACCTGGGTCCAAACAAAATGCTATAACTCGTGTGACAGTGGAGTTGTGAGCATGGCCATCGCAGTCTCCCCTGCCCCCAACCCCTGTCAGAAGGAGAGGCTAATGTCCAGCTCTGTTGGTACCTTTCCAAGGTCTTGGAGCTCAGGAAGAGTGACGTGGTTTTGGATAAGGGTGGTAAATCTCATGGAGAAATAGTGAAGCTTTCGGCCTCCACAACTGCAGAAGAGATCTTGGAGAAATTAAAGCAGCAAGTCGAAAACAAAATAAAGGCAAGTTATGAGAAATACATCCTTGAGAAGCCTTTTAACTGCTATTAATGAAGAGGCTGTTAAATAGGGAAATATATTTCAGTGCATGGAAGAACTTAGAAAAAAATAAATTTAAGAACAGGACTCAGAAAGGAAGTAGGAATTTTAAATTTTAAAAGTAGTCTACATTGAGGAGGGTATGTGCTATGGTGAGCGCTGTGAATTGTGCAAGACTGTTGAATCACGGATCTGCACTTCTGAAACAAATAATGTAATATAGGTTAAGAAAAAAAAAGAAGAAGCTAGCAGGAGGGGAAGAATGAAGGGGAGTAAGTCGGAGGGGGAGACGAACCATGAGAGACGATGGACTCTGAAAAACAAACTGAGGGTTCTAGAGGGGAGGGGGGGAGGGGGATGGGTTAGCCTGGTGATGGGTATTAAAGAGGGCACGTTCTGCGTGGAGCACTGGGTGTTATGCACAAACAACGAATCATGGAACACTACATCAAGAACTAATGATGTAATGTATGGTGATGAACATAACAATAAAACAATGGGAAAAAAAAGAAAAATAAAGTAGTCTACTTTCAATATAGGTTCTAACATCCCTAACCCAAACAGCTTGGAATATGTTAGTCCGATTTCATCACATTTACAAAATAACAGAACTGGAAGAGATCTTCAAGATGACCTCAGTCATCCCCTTTGATCCTGTGACAGGGCTTCTGCCATCCAGGAGTTGAGAGACTTATTCAGGATCACACCGTGCAGGATGGCAGCTGGAACCCAGATCCCTTGATTCCTGTTTGGATGCATCTTATCCTGATTGTAAAGGAAGAGATTTCCACAGACTTCTAGGGTTCTGGGGATTGCCTTCTCTAGAGTTTCTAAGTGACAGAAGAAAACCTGTCATACTGCTTTGTGGTCTTACTTTATATTTTAAAAGGCTTATCTAAATAAAAAACGCCTTTTGTGTCTTTTTAAAACTCTATGGAGCATTTTGTGAAAAAGAAAATAAGAGTAATCAGGACTTGTATTTCAATGTTAATTATTTTGGGGAAATCACTGAATTTTCATCCTCCTTGGATGGTAACTGCCGTCCTCAAATCTGTACTTTTTATGAATCTCCGAAGATCCTTAGAAGAAGAGGGCCTGGAAGCTACTTCCAGTATTTTTAAAAGCCTATCAGAAATCATATCTACATTAAAGCTTCAAAAGCTAATAAAAAAAGTGAAATAAAAATTTTTTAGACATACAAAATCTAGAAGAACTCATTATCAGCAGATTCACGCTTAAAAAATGTTAAATAACATCATTCAGGCAGAAGGAAATGGTAGCAGATGGAAATCTGGGTCTACACAAAGGAATGAGGAGCACCTGAAATGATAAATACACAAGTAATTAATATAAGATTATTTTCTAATTATTTAGATCTCTTTAAGAGAGAATCAACTACTTAAACAAAACTAACAGCACTGCATTTTAGGGTCTATAATATGTTAGAGTAAAGTGAATGACAATTATAGCATAAAGTTTGGAGAAGAGAAATGGAAGTATGTTAACTATTGAAGTAGTATGCTGTCATTTGAACGTACACTGGTAAGTTAAAGATGAATACTATAAGCCCTAAAGCAACAAAGGGCTACAACTAATAATCCAACAAAAGAGAGAAAATGGATAACCCAAGACAAAGCAGAAAAAGCAGAAAACATGGGAAAGAACAGATGAGACAAATAGAAAACAAATAGCAAGATGGTAGACTCATTCAAACTGAACCGTAGCAATTAAATAAACGTGAATGCTATAAACACCTCCAGTTGAAAGGCAGAGATGATGAGATTGGATTAAAAAGCAAGATCCAATTATATGCTGCCTCAAAGGAACACATTAAATATAAAGACACAGTAGGTTAAAAAGAAAAGAGTGGAAAAAGATATACTGAGCTAGAACTAGTCCTAAGAAAGTGGGAACGGCTAGATGCCTGTCAGAATCTATTACAAAGCTAAGCATATTATCATTATAAGCATAAAATATCATTTTATTTATTTGACAGAGACACAGTGAGAGAGGGAACACAAGCAGGGGGAGTGGGAGAGGAAGAAGCAGGCTTCCCAACCAGCAGGGAGCCCGATGCGGGGCTCGATCCCAGGGCCCTGGGATCATGACCTGAGCCGAAGGCAGACGCTTAACGACTGAGCCACCCAGGCGCCCCAAGGTAATTTCCTAATGATAAAAGGGACAGTTTATGAGGAGGACATAACGATCCCAGCTATTCAAATACCTGCTCATAGGGCTTTGAAATATAGGAAGCAAAAACTGATAGCACTGAAAGAAGAAATGGACAAGTGCACAATTATAGTAGATTTCATTACCCTTTCTGAATAATTGCTAGAATTATCAAATAAGAGCAACTCATCAGAGGCATGCTAGACTTGAACAGCATTACCAACCAAGTAGCCCAATTGACATTGATCCAGCAGCCCACCCCGCAACAGCAGAAATAACACGTTCTTCTCAGGTGTACAGGAAACATTTCCAAGAGAGACCACATTCTGGACCATAAAACAATTCCCAAGTGCAAAAGGATTCAAGTGACACACAGTCTATTCTCTGATCACAATGGAATCAAAGTGGAAATAACAGAAAGATAGTTGGAAAAATCCTCAAACTGATTGGAAACTAAAAAACACACTTCTGAATAGCCCAGAGATCAGAGAAGAAATACAAATAGAAATTAGAAGATATTTTGATCTGAATGAAGATGAGAACACAACATGTCAAAATTGGTGGAACGCCACTGACGCTCTACTGAAGGGAGATTTATAGCACGATTAGAGGAGGAGAAAGGTCTGGAAACCGTGAACTCAGGTGTCCTCTTAAGAAACTAAACAACAACAAAATAAGCCCAAAATCAGCAGAAGAAAGGAAATAGTAAGAATCCCAATGGAAATCGATGAAGTAGAAACTAGCAACCACAGCAAAATAAATTAATTAAATAAATAAATAAATAAATAAATAAATAAATAAGGTCAAAAGCTGGTTCTTTGAGAAGATCAGTAAAACTAGCAAACTTCTAAGGAGTCTGATCAGGAGGGAAAAGAAAAGAAGACACAAATTACTAATACCAAGAAAGGGAGAGGTGCCAGACAAGCCCAAAACTTGATAGTTCTCTGGAGATGGAGCTTTGGGGGGAGCTGTAAGCTTGTCTCAGCCCCCCACTGGCTGCCTGGATGTGGGGCTGTCGGTTTCCGAGGCCACCAAGGACCTGGGGAGGGCGGGTGGGGAAGGATCCGTGGGAACGCCACAGAGGCTGGCTGTTCTTGCTGAGTTTGAGCTAACTTTCTCCAATAAATGATCCCTGGATTGTTGCAAGCCTTTGGTTAACTGTCGGAGTTTTGAAAAGGTTGATTTTGACAGTTTCCGCTCGAGTTTTGTCTTCACGCTGTCAAGACAGCTGTTCTCTTTGTAGCATCATGCTTGCAGCCCTTCTCTCCAGCCTCCCTGAGGATTACCGTGTCCAGGAAATCAGTTCCTGGTAAACATTTCCAGAAGAAGGATCCAAAGACCTAGACCTTGGTTCTTTCCCCAGGTGGGCAGCCTGTGTTCCTCCTGCTGGTGTGCAGTGCGTGCCCATGACCGAGTGTCCTTCTGCTCCCGCTCACACCATGCACTTCCATCCACTTGAAACCGCCTTTCAGAAAAATGTTTTTATCCTATATCGCAGAGAGACAATAGTTCAGGCTAATCACATCCCATTTGTTTGAGGACAGTTAAAAAGTTAGTATCTTGTACTTCTATTTGTTTGTCTCTTTTTACCTTACAGAGAAGATCCAAGGAGCCATTTGTGCTTCATGAATTTCATTAATTTTTTAATCAAAAAAAATTTTTTTACAATAATACCTCTTTAATGTGTGCTGCAAATCACAGAAAATAAACAGGTTTGAGAGTTGACTATGATTACAACGCTGGGAGAAAGAATGTTTAAAAATAGAAAATATGGTCCGCATCCTTAGGGAGCATCTAATCTAATCGGGAGAATAATACTAGAATTTGTACCTCTTTTGCATCTTGTGTCAAGTGTGGGGAAAGAATAAAGGAGAGGTCAGAGTAAGGTGAGAACTTCTGTGTTTTCTCTGTTTGATGTGACAGGTGATTCATTCACTCAGTAAATTCCTAGAGCATCAACGGTGTGCCGGGCATGGCACTAGGCTCTGGAGAAACAGCCATGACTCAGAAGATGAGTTCTGCTCCGTTTGGGCTAACAGCCTAGGGGAGAAATCAGCCAATAGGGGAGCAAGCAAGTGAGGAAAATGATTAGCACCTGTGGGAATTGCTCTAAAGAATACAGAAGGATGGTGCTACTTCTGAGATGAAGTGGCCTGGGAAGATCTTCCTGAGGAAGGGAGAGCTAACCTTGGAGGAAGGGAATGAGCGAACCATGGAAAAGGCTAGTAGGGTAAAACGCATCCCCTCAGAATCCAGAGACTCTGAGAGAGGAGAGTTGCCCCCTTTGGAGAAATAAGCGGCAGGCTTGTGTGGGGGGGTTGGAGCGAACCCGGAGGGGAGGGCTGTGTGGTGCAGGCCGTGGAGGCTATGGCGAGAAGTTTGGTTTCATCCCAAGAGAAAGGGAAGCCCCTGACAGGTGTAAAGGAAGGAGGGACATGACTTGATCTGTATTTTTGAAAGATCACTTTGGCTGCTGTGCAGGGAGCACACGGTAGGGGCAAGGTTGGAAGTAGGAAAAAGGGCTCACAGTCTCTCGCCCTTATCTCTGCAACTTGAGATCTGGCAGGTTACCCAAATGTCTGTGCGGCAGTCCGCGTGATACAGTGGAAGGGTCACAGGATTTGGTGTCAGAAATGCCTGCATTTGAATCCCTACTCTTCTGCCCTCACCAGCTGTGTGAATGTGGGCAAGTGATCTAACTTCTCTAAGCTTCTGTTTACTTGTTTGTAAATCGAGAGGAGGAATCTTAGCCTTTACGGTTGTAGTATGGGATATGTTAGGTGATGTGTGGAAAGTACATGAATGTTCTCTTTTCTCATCCTGATACGGAGCTTTGATGGAAAACAAAGTGGAGGTGGCTGCTTCCTGCAGGGAGCCTTCTGACACCTGTAAACATAGTGGGGTGTAGAATGCATGCTCAGTTCCGGTGCTGATTGGTGTGGGTGAAGAGAGCAGTCCCTAAGGCCACTGACATCATTGTTTTCATTCCTAGTACGGACTCCACTTCAGGAAAGGCCGCTGTTTCCATTTGGTAGCCAGTTGAGCCTCTGATTCCCTAGTTTTCATGGTCTAGTATCTGTTCACTTCATTCATAGTGGTTAGGAGCGCTGGGCTTGGGGTCAGACAGACCTGGAGTCAAGTTCTAGTTCTGTGATGGACCAGCTGTGCCTTAAGCAAGGGCCTCTCTCCTCAGCTTCTTGGTCTCTGCCATGGGGACAGGGATCATCCTCAGGAGGTTGTGGTAAGGACTACAGCGGAGCCCTGACTTTTTAGTAACTCTGACCTCACAGGTATCCTGTGACTCACGTCATGCATATGAGGAGACTAGCTTGGTGCTTGGCATGTAGTACTCACCACATAAAGGAGAGTTTCTGCTGTCATTCCTACTATAGTTATTGCTGGTCTGCAGTGAGGATGTATTTTTCCAGCTGCTGTTGAGACAGAGTAAAATGGCAGGGGTACTTTCTGAGGGTCCTACCTATGATGAGACCCCACTCAGTGATAAAAGAGAGCTGAGAACTGAGCCGTTGTCCGTTCTTGTTTTGTTTTGCTGCTTTTTCCTGTGCCAGGTGGACAATCAGCTCATTGGTACCACGCAGCCCTTCATGCTCTATGTGACTCCCCTGAGCAATGAGAATGAGGTCATCGAGACAGGCCCAGCCGTGCAGGTGAATGCGGTGAAGTTCCCCAGTAAGAGCGCGCTGACCAACATCTACAAGGTAGGCTGCTGGGAGAGGCTGGTGGGCTTGGCATTGGTGGCAGGAGGCCTATTTGTTCTCTCACAGCCGAGGCCCTGAGCAGCAGTGCAGGGTGTGCAGCTGGAAGTCGTCCTGTGCAGTTAAGGCACTATGACTGACTCCATGGTGTAGGAGGGGGATTTACAGCAACTCCTCCTAGCACCTTGTATTTTCAGCTATGTCTTTGACAGCGCATGATGGTGTGGGGGACCAGAATCTGTAGTCATCAGAGTAAAGTCTCTGTGGGAAAGCATAGCATCTTCCAGGTTGATCAGGACCAGGCGTGATCCAGATGTGTGTTTAAAATAGAATAATTGGAGAGTGGTAGGAGGGGTCTGACCTTGCGACAGATGTCCTCCTGTGTAAGCTGTCACACTGTTAGTGAAAGCATGTCATTCAAAAGTGATGAACTTCTACCCTGGAGAAGTTTCCACGTATAAGCAAGCTGAGAAAGCAGCAAATTCTGGAAAAGTGGGAGCTAAGAGGTTGCTTCCCATATTTCTGGCCTTTGTCACCATTACCAGTGGGGGCCAAGCCTGTATGTGGCCCTCAAATCCTGTAGCTCCTTAAACTAGCTGCTGTCCATGTGAACTCAGCACCATAACGCTGTCCACCACAGCGTATCTGCAAGGAGACACAGATGCCCCGGACACCAAACAATAGGGTGGTGAATTGTGTATTAAACCTCTTCTGGAATTTTTGGCTAATTGTAACAATGTAGAGAGAGATGAGCCAGAAAGCATTTGGCAGTGTTGTTACAAAATCACATGAGTAAAGAAACTGTGCCACGTCATTTTGGGGCCTTCTTAATGGCCCAGATGAGAGTTCCTTCTGGTGTTTACACTATTAATCAGAATTTCTCTGTCTCTAGCATCTGATGATCACGGCTCAGAGATTCACAGTGCAAATTGAGGAGAAACTGCTCCTCAAGCTGCTGGGTTTTTTTGGCTACGATCAAGCAGAATCAGGTACTGTTGAATATTCTAGATTTGTGTTTGGGAATTGACCCAAGAATGGCATTTTCTAGTCTGCTTGAGAAAATAGGTAGCCTCTGGGTGCCCGACAAGCTCCCTATACACCTCACAGCCCGAGCCCAGAAGCTGAGGCTTGTCTCTCAGTGGCTTTTTTCCAAGTACAGCCTGTTTGGGGGGGTGGGGGCTGACGTGGGCATGAAGGAAGCTTCTTAGAGGTATCCTGGGGTATCTGGGGGTAAGCCTTCGGGAAGGCACACTTTCCCTCTTTGTTGTGCAGTTTTTGACTCATCTGCTTGAGGATAACAGAAATGATGTTCGTCATTTAGCAAACCATTTTGTTTCCTAACCTTTGTTTAGTAAACAGTCTCGGAGCCAAGAATCAGAAATCCAGCAGTTCCTTTGGTTTAGTTGAGGGGGAAAAAACTTGATTAGCCTTAGTTAACTTCTTAACTTTTTACATCCATGCCCTTATGCCTTAATATCATTAGCAAGTTTTCTAGTTACTTGACTCTTCTTGGAGAAGGGAGTGAGAGAAGCTATTGGAAACCCTACGTGTTCTAGCAGTCACTACAGAAATCATGTGGCTTTTGTCTCTTTATTTTAGATTCCTCCTCATGGCCTTTGTAAGACTGAATATAGAGCTTAGAAGGAAGTCAGTAATGCTTAGTCTTTTGAAGACTAAGCCCAACATTGAGCCTGAAGAAATGATAAGAGGGACTTGTACGTTTATATGCCCACATTGGCTAGAGAAAAAAAAAATCACTAGGGACATGTGTGCATATGTATGTACTTACACACGGTGCAAGAAAAATATTTTTGCTCTTTAACCCAGACTTAGGATTCAAACTTTAAATATATTTGGGATCAAGAGCAAGATCCTGTCCGTTTAGAACTGTGTTTTCCATTTTGGGTTGGAAGACCAATGTTGGTTTTGATTCAGCCACTTGAGGGCCTGCCTGCCAGGTAGCCAGTCTCTTTTGGCACCTTCCTGGGACATTGTACTTTCCATTTTACTGGACATACTTTTCTTATAAGTTGCTCTAAGTAAATTTCTCACCAAGCATTGCATAGACATTTGTAAAATCCTGGCTGTGTTTTACTGGAGCATCTCCTCCACTTTCTCTGTTTCTGTTCCCTGAATACAAATGGGCAACAGAGGTTGCAGTGTCATTTTCTAAAACCTAGTCCCTTGTTTTCTATAAATAGAACCATAATAGCTTACAGCATACATTTGATTGGTAGCCAGATCTGTACAATCTCCTTGGTTGTATTTCTTTTTTTTTTTTTAAGATTTTATTTATTTATTTGAGAGAGCGAGAATGAGAGAGAGAGAGAGAGAGAGAGAGAGAGCACATGAGAGGGGGGAGGGTCAGAGGGAGAAGCAGACTCCCTGCTGAGCAGGGAGCCCGATGTGGGACTCAATCCTGGGACTCCAGGATCATGACCTGAGCCGAAGGCAGTCGCTTAACCAACTGAGCCACCCAGGCGCCCTCCTTGGTTGTATTTCTAAGGCACATGAAGCCAAGTGAAAATAAGCTGACCACATGGGTGTGGGCACAGGAGCAAGTCAAAGAGCCCATTGACATGTGCCAGCCCATGTCACTCCTTCTCACTTCATGAGAAGTAAAAAAAAATATGTCTCAACTCTGCTGCTTTCACAAACGTCCACCATTTGGGAGAGAGGGTGCTTATTGTCGTGACATTAGCTCTTTATAGCCTGCAGCCTGTTTCTTTTTAAAGGCATTCTGTTGCACTCAGATGCATTATTTAATTGGTCATGTTGTTCATTATGATTCAGTTGAACTCTACTCCAATGGATAATATTTGGATATCATCTTATGAAGTAAATGCAGATAATCGGGGTCACTTATGATAATCATAATAATAACAACACAGTTTCTAGAAGACTAATTGCCAGCAAACACACCCATGACCTCTGGCGTCCCCACCTGCATGATTTTTTCCAAAGATGATGTCTGCCAGATGGTATAGAGTCACAAGTCAAAAGATTAGGCTATTGTGCTTTTTGATAAACAACATGAAGCAGATCTCCTTTTATAAAGAAGTGGCATCAGGTTACTGTATTTATCACCAAACCCTGAAAAACTAAATTTAGAGAGATATTTACATTTTTCTATGAATATTTTTCAATGTTAGCATTTGAATTGTGAGACTTCAGGAGACTCTTTTTTTTTTTTTTTTTTTAATTCACAATTTCACTCTTGTACCAGAGGTGGAAAAATATGATGAAAACCTCCATGAAAAGACGGCTGAGCAAGGTGGAACACCAATTCGATACTACTTTGAAAATCTCAAAATCAGCATTCCCCAGATCAAGCTGAGTGTGTTCACCTCCAACAAGCTACCATTGGATCTTAAGGTGAGCTGGTATCTGGATAAGTTTTAAAAAGGACTTTCCCTCAAAAAGAATGAATGTGTTTCCTATTTGCTTTTTCTGTCCAGGATCATCATCATCTCCAGCAAATATTTTTACAGGTTTCCCTTTTTGAAGATTTGACATATATATGTATACATGTGTATACGTATGTGTGTACATATGGACATATGTATATGCACTTTTTTTATATTTAAGTAAGACTTTGCTAAAGATTGAGGAGTAATGTGAGTAAACAGAGAATTACATAAGACCCGTCTGCCATCTTCTTAGCTCTTGGCTTATCTCAATGAGGTAAGAGTCTGCTTTCCTAGGGTCACTCCCAGATTCAGGAGAAAAGCTACAACCAAGACAGTACCTTCCCTTTTGTGCCCAAGACCTGCCTGCGCTCCTAGTTCTCTCCTCCTCAGTACCCACCTCTTCGTGAAGGGTTGACACTAGAGACGTCTCCCACCTTCAGGGAACACACTCAGCCACGTATCACTGAGGTGTGGCCTGACCCACCACCGTTATCAGAATGTGACACTCCTGCCGATCATCCTGATCCACACTTGACAGATACAGCCTGAATTCCGTCTTCATTTGCTGCTGTGAGATCTATTTTAACGAAGGAATGGGGCTGGGATTCAAATCCAAGCCTGTGTGACTGGAAAGTCTGCACTGTGCTATACTCTACCCTATACTGTCCGCCCCCTGGAACGTACGGCATCAGAGAATTTTAGAGCTGTAAGTGTCCTCAGTGATCCCCTTGCTTAGTGAACAAGGATGTTGGAGTCCAGAGCGTGCTTTCCATGCGGGCCCGCGTAGGTAGGCCGTGATGGGAGCAGGAGGAGGCCCCAGGTGGTTGTTAGAAAGACTTTTCTTAGATTGAGTCTAAATCTGCCTCCCTGCAGCTCGACCTTTGTTGCCCTTGAAGATCGTTGTCAAGGCACTCATCCCCCCCCACCCCCCGCCCCACTAACCACCAGCCCGGGACGTGGCCACTGCCCCAGTCCCCAGGCTCCTTTCAGATGCTGCATGGTGGCCTCTCTTCTGAACAGGAGTAGCTACAGATCTGAACAAACAAAGAATAAACGTGGCGTCATAAATTCAGCTGCCTCCCGGGATTGTGCGAGCAGTGCACCGCGTGAAGCAGTGCGGTGGGGACCATGGCATGTGGGGTGAGCACCCTTCATCTGAAGGGGCAGCCTTGGCTCAGCTCCAGCCAGTTGCTCTCACAGGGCGATGTGAACCCAGTGTTGCCAGATCTTCACATTTTTAAAGTGAAGCCAGAAATCTGGGTTTTTATGTGGAATCTCCTGGTTTTGAAATGTTGGCAATCAATTTGAGTTGTTTTCTTTAAAAACCTTTTGGGCCTGACAAAACACATGTGTGGGCCTCATGTGGTGCATGGTTTGCCAACTCACAACTTCTAAAATAGACCTATAGGTAATGAGACAGTAGTCTGGTCAATACCAGCTCATACTTGGATAAGGATAGGGCAAGAGTGACTGCTTCATTTCGGTGTCAAGCTGGGGACGAGCAGTCGGGAGTGCTGGTTGGGACCAGAGGGGCAGGAATTGCTTTGCAGCCATCCTGAGAACGGCATGGTGTGCCCTTTCCAACAGACTCTCCTGTCTGCTTGATTGGCTTTAATTTCATGTTTCCCAAGAGACAAAAGATACTTATAATTAGCATGGGAGTGGGGGGAAAACCATGGGAAAACCACTATCTTGCTAATATCCACAAGTATCCACTTGACTTATGTGACCCCTTGGAATGGGTTTGTTTGATAAAGTGTATATTCCCCCAGAACACTTGGCATGCACCCAGCAAACTAATGTTAAGTATTTCCTGAGAGTTAAGGACTTCTTGTTTTTTAAATCATCTTACTTAGAAACACAGACACCTAACTATTCCTTTTAAATTGCTCCCAGCAGAAAACTTTCCCCCAGACTGACAAATGCAATAGGATTTCCTAAGGTTGAAGTAGCTCCAGACCTCCGGTTATATGGTACCAATGCGTGCGTGTATTCTGTGCATGCAATACCCTGGCGATCCGTTAACTTGAATGTTTCATTTGGCACTGTACTGAAGGAACATTTTGAAGGCATTTTCAAATGACTGTTCAAGAAATCCAGTGGATCAGCCATGTAATGTGGTGTGGGGCGGGGGGCACCCTGAATGGGGCACATTAATGTTTCAAGCAGGGTACTGGGAATTGGGACTTCAGAGTTAAATTCTCAGCTTGTGGAAGTCAGCGTTTTACTGTGTCTCGAGTTCTCCTAGTGGAGTCTGGGACTCATAAAGTAATGTCATTCATTCAAAGAGTTTCCTAACAGAGTAATATCCCTTTATTAGTAGCTCTTAGGAAGAGCAATATGCTCTTTGAGATGAATATGTAATGGCTAAAAGTATGTGCTTAGGGAATGGAGTGCTATCCCAGAGCCGGAATCACAAGAGTCTGACTAAAAGGTAACCATGTCTTTGGTATTGAAGGAATAATTATCTTGATTCTCTCGACCCAGGCCAGAAGTGAGGCTGTCAGAAATCTCAGAGGGAAGTCTCTTCAGGTTTACACTGAGGGTACATTATTGCCAGATATAGTGTCTGTTCAGAAGGACTCAGAGCAGTTTCCCATCTGCTGTCTCAATTGGATTCTTTCCTCTGTGATGGGAGAAGGGCGAGGTAATGGTTCCATTTCACGAATGCAAAGACATTCCTCCCCTCCCCCCTTCTCTCTATTATTCTCCCCAGTGTGCACTACTAGAGCGTAGCAGGGTAAGTTCGAAAAACACCAGGTAGTTTATATGGACTTGGGTTTTTTTTTTAAAGATCAAAAGAAGCCAGGAGCCTTTAAAAGGTTTCACGAGGTGGCCTACAGCAGTCCTTTTCCCATTTAGAGCATTGGGGTATTACAAAAGAAGGGCTTTAATTGAGCAATCTAGTTTGGAAGAAAACCCACATTTTAATGGTCAGAGAGCAAGAGGGTGGGGGTGAGGGGGAATTTCAAACAAAGACACTATTTAAAAAAGCCTAAAACTGTCTTCTCAAAGGCTTGAAATAATTTGTTGGGAAACTTCAGACCCTTTACTTTTTTCCTCCCCTCCCTAAATAAAAACCAGATTTGTTAAAAGGAAAAAAGATCCAGTATTGTTAATTGTATTTCAGAAAGTGCCAGAGAGGGAAATATCCCTGTAGTTTTAAACACTGTCCCGGGAGGGAAATGGGCAAATACCCTGCTTCACATAAACGGTTTCTATGTACCATAAATAAACCTTTAAAGAATGAATTCCAGACAGTTTTGTTTAGTGCAGGATAAACTAAGAAAGGAAAGGACATGGCCCAGGGACTGGCTTGTGATCCAAGACCTAATGGTATATGGACAGGTATCTTTTCTTTCAACTCCATAAAGTTTCTGGAAGACTTCAGCAGTTTTCGTCTGGAGGAGGTAGGAATAGACAGTTTCCTAGTTTTATTAGGAACTTCTAAGCACAGATTGCTTTCTCCAGAATCCGTTTTATAACAGGAAACTGTCTGCTACTTGAGTAAATAAGCATCAACTTTGTATACTACTGTATTTGATTAGTCATTTAGTTACTACAGGAAAAAGCCGTTTGGCTCTTTCCCCTCTCATCTGTTTTCCTTTGACTGACCAGAACAACCTGAAGGTGGCAGAATAATTCATACCAAACGCTGGATCTCTGGTTTTTCAACCATGGGAGGCCCCAAAGCAGTAAATGACGAGGTGAAGATAATTTTTACTGAAGGGCCAGAGTAGTTCCTTGGTTCAGACTAAAAGCACATGAGCCATTCAGAAAGGGGATAGTGTCTCTCGTGAGGGTTTTGACAACTTGGTAGAGGTTTCAGAGTCTCTGCTACTATGTATGGTTCCTCTTTAGTATTTGGTTGCAATGAGGAAGTCGGGGTAAAAAAGCTTTTGCCTTAAGCCTTTGTTTGGATCTCATTTCCTCTTCTCTGAGAAGAAAGTAATGCTCAGGGTTGTATTGGCAAAACAAACTGCTGACCTGGTGTCAGTACCTTCCCAGCATATTTACTGTGTGGCTCTAAGCAAAGCGGTTAAGCCAGCTGGGCCTCAGTTTCTCCGTCAGCGCCTCATGGATGGGTGAAGCATACATGAATGAATAGCAGAAAGTTTTTCAGGAGAAACAATATAATCCTCCATCCTGGGCCTCATGCTTTCCACCTAATGGGTGGTTACTGTCGTGAAAATGAGCACGTTCAAGTCCAAGATCTCCTAATAACGAACTGCATGAGTTTAGGTCATCCACTTAACATTTCTTTGGTTTTATTTATTTTCAAAAAATGAATGTGTTTGGCTGAATTAGCATGTTAGGCTGAATTAACCTAAGAATGCTCTTAATCTCTAAAATGTTTTGTTCTCACATTATTTAGTAGGAGGTTACTAGTGACTTCCCAGGGCCCCAGATCTAGGGGCCTTTTGTCTGTCCTTGTCTCTGTAGGGTCCTCTGTCATATTTGGCATTGCTGACCTCCCTGTTCCTTTCTTGTTCTCTTATTCTTCTGTTTGCTTCTTTGTCTTCTTCATAGTTTTCTTTTCCTCTGCTTCTCCTGACCCATCTATTTAAGGGCTTTTTTTCCCTCTGTGAACCAAACTCTCTGGTCATATCACTTGCCCATTTTTAAAATCATATTATTGGTCTTTTATTGCCTGTAATTTTAGAAGCTCTTTATATAAGTTTGGTCTTTGATATGAGTTGCAAGGTTTTTTCCTTCCGTCTTTCAGTTGGCTTTTTATTTTTGATGTATATATGTTTTTTTAATCACATAAAAGCTTTTTATTTTTGTCATCAAATTTACCAGTCTTTTGCCTGTTTGAATCTGTATTTAAGTCCCAAAAAAGTTTCCCCGTTTCCTGGTTTTAAAAAAATTCCATCTATATTTTCTTCCATTACATGATTTCATTTCAATTAAAGATGTTCTTATCCCAAAAGAATTTAAGGCAGCCTCTGAAAATACATGCTAAAAGATGAAAAAATAAGGGAGAAAATAGAAAGTGCATGAAGTTGCACATGAGATTTTACTATAAAGGCATTTTGATTCTCCACTGATGGTACAAGGTGTAAAGAATATATGGCCATTTTTCATCTACTAAGATACCTAGGAATAAATCCAACAAAGGGTATATATAAGACCCCTGCATGAAAAACAGTGTAACATTATTAAGAGAAAAGAGAACTGAATAGATAAGGGGACATATCACATCAATACACTGAAAGATTTAATAATGTGAAGTTGTCATTTCTCCTCAAATTGATCTATAGATTCAATGCAATCTTGATGAAAATTCCAACAATTTTTTTGCAGCAGATTGACAAGCTGATTCTAAAATGTATTTGGAAATGAAAAATGCAAAGAATAACTGGGGTAATCCTGAAAAAAAAAAAAAAAAACAACAAAGTTGGAGAGCTTATACTATTAGATTTCAAAACTCATTACAAAACCATAGTAATTAAGACAGTGTGGTATTGGTAGAAGGCAGGACAAAATGAAACAGAAAAGGGAATCCAGAAACAGACACACAAATTCAGTTACTCAACTTAGGACAAAGTTTACACTGTACTGAAGTAGTGGAGAGGGTGATCATTTCAGTGAACATTACTTAGTTAATTAGGTATCCATCTGGAAAAAAATGGATCTTGATTTCTGCCTCACACTATATAAAAAAATCAAGTCCAAGTAGATTATAGATTTAAATATGAAAAGTAAAACAATAAAAAATTTTTAGGTAAACACAGGGAGTATCTTTACGACCTTGATGTAGATAATAATTTTTTTAAAGATTTTATATGTTTATTTGACACAGAGAGAGAACACAAGCAGGGGGAGCAGCAGGCAGGGAAAGAGGGAGAAGCAGGTTCCCTGCTGAGCAGACAGCCCGATGTGGGGCTCAATCCCAGGACCCTAGCTGAAGGCAGACACTTAACCAACTGAGCCACCCAGGCGCCCTTATAATAATTTCTTAACCAGGAAACAGAAAGCTCATTTCCTAAAGGAAAAAATTGGTAAGTTAGATTTCATTAAAACAGAATGTCTGATCATCAAAAACGCTATTTAAAAAGTTAAAAGTTACGGAATGGGAAAAGATCATTGCAATTAATTGCAGTACATCTATTCACCAGAGGACTTGTATACAGGATGGATAAGAAAAACGGGGACGCCTGGGTGGCTTGGTCAGTTAAGTGTCTGCCTTTGGCTCAAGTCATGATCCCAGGGTCCTGGGATCAAGTCCTGCGTCAGGCTCCTTGCTCAGTGGGGAGCCTGCTTCTCCCTCTGCCTGCCACTCCCCCTGCTTGTGCTCACTCTCTCTTTCCCTCTCTGACAAATAAATAAATAAAATTATTTATAAAAAAGAAAGGAAGAAAGAAAGGCCTACAAAGCAATAAGTAAAAAACAGACAGCCCACTGCAAAAATGAGCAAAAGACTTGAGTAGGCACTTCACAAAAAGGGATATCCAAATGGCCGATATATGTGTAAAAAGGTGCTTGATCTCATGCTTCACCAAGAAAATAGATATTAAAGCCACACTGAGATACCGTTACACACCCATCAGAATGTCTTTTAAAAGACTGTCTAGGGGCGCCTGGGTGGCTCAGTTGGTTAAGCGACTGCCTTTGGCTCAGGTCATGATCCTGGAGTCCCAGGATCGAGTCCTGCATCAGGCTCTCTGCTCAGCAGGGAGTCTGCTTCTCCCTCTGACCCTCCTCCCTCTTATGCTCTCTCTCTATCATTCTCTCTCTGTCTCTCTCTAATAAATAAATAAAAATCTTTAAAAAAAAATAAAAGGCTGTCTATACTGAGTGTTGGTGAGGATGTAGAACAACAGGAAATTCCATAGATAGCCGAAGGGATTGTAAACCCGTTTAGCTGCCGGGGATGACTCTTGGGCAGAACTGCGTGTACTAGGGTTGAACAGGTATATTCTTTGTGACACAGCAGCTCCACTCCCAGGTATATATTCAAGAAAAGGGCATACAAATGTGCCCCCAAAGACATGTCTGTGAATGTTCATAGCAGCGTTGTTCATAATAGCCAAAAGCTTGAAACAGCACAACTGTTTATCAACAACAGTGGCTTAATAAATTGTGTTTTATTCGTATATTAGAATACTAACAATGAAACTTAAGCAGCTGCAGCTATATGTAACACCCAGAGTACATACTGATGGTTTCCTTTATATAACATTCAAAGCAGGAAAAACTAACGTATGGTGGTAGAAGTCAGGACAGTGGTTACCCTAGGGGAGGAGAGAGTAGTGATGGGGAGGCCCCAGCTGGGGTGGGGGATGTTTCCAAGATGGGAATAATAATTTACCCTCTGGTCTCCCGGGTGGTATTACATGTTTGTTGTGTTCACTTTGGGGGAAAAAAATCATTGAACTGTACATTTGGTTAGTACACCTTTCTATATGTGTGGTAACTTCAGTCAAAAAAGTAAAACACAACACATAAAACAGACCAAAAAGAATTATGCTATGAAGCTAATAGTGTTTATTTCTGTGTGATCTTTGTTACTTTGAGTGACATATACATATATTTTTTTACGAATGTTTTACTTTTATAATTACAGGGAAAATCCTTATTTATAAATATCAAAGCCTTGACGCTGATTAGAAGGTTGATATGTAGCTTTCATGGAATCCAAAATTATAGTACCCTGGGAGGCCATCAAATGGCTAACGTATATCATTTCCTTTCTTCCCTAACTAGGCCCTAAAAAGTACCTTGGGATTTCCACTGATTCGGTTTGAGGACGCTGTGATTAATCTGGATCCATTCACTCGGGTACATCCCTATGAGACCAAGGAGTTCATCATCAATGATATCCTCAAACATTTCCAGGAGGTGAGCTTTGGAGAAATCCTTAGTGGCTGCAACATAAGCAGAATGTTTGTTTTGGTTGTTTGAATTTTGGTTACTAAGGCATTACTATTGAGAACCCAGTTAAACATTTGCTGTGTTAGGGGTCAGGTCACAGCCCATGAAGCCCATACACATCCTGAAAATCCTGAAACAGTGTATTTGATTTATGAGCTGTTAGTCTTGTCCCTCAGAGAACTAGTCTCAGGGGCTTCCACCAGATTAGTCACAACTCTTAAGGGTTTAATTGATGCTTTAATGGTAACACAAAATACTGTGACCTCTCTATTTACTGGGCATGGGCCTACTTTCAACAACCACATCAGTGTTCTTGGAGCCTATGAGGTCCTGCCCTAGAGCTGAACTTCAAAATTTTCTTAATCAAGTTGGACATTTTCCATTTTGTAATTATTATCCAGACTCTTCAATAAATAGATAGGTCAAGATCATATCAAATTTATTAACGGTCAGAGTTAAAATATATTCCATTCCTGCTTCCTTTTCTCCCTCCTCCCTCCCATCTCCCTCCTTTCCTTCTTTGCTTCTTTCCTTGACTTTCTTAATTGGTGATATTCCCACTAAACTGTGAGGAGAGTGACATAGCAGATACCCCTGGAATCTGGAATCAGACAGTGGAGGGATGCGGAAAGTGGAGGGTTGCTTGGTAGGTCTGAACATGCCCTCTTTATGCACTGCTCCCTCCGCCGGTTATGAGGGGAGCTCCCACTCTACTCTCTTCCTTCATTTTCCTTCTAGAACTCTCCTGCTGCTGCTGAGTTCCCTATTTGTAGGAACAATGGAGAGTGTGATATATATGCTAATAAATATTTGTAAAGGGTCTTTCCTGTTTCAAAGCTTTTGTTTATTCTTCGGAATGGCTTTGAGGAGTATTTCTGAACGTATTACCGAAAGTCATCTCTGGGGTACATGCATGGGGAGAGCTTGGGTGGAGTTCGTGGAAGGAGAGGAGCTGGCAGTTGATGAGGATTAAGGGGTCATCATGGGAGTTGATGAGAATGGAGGATGAGACAGATTTCTAACCTTTTTGCTTGGGACATTCTACCTGCAAGTATCAACAGGTGCTGGTTCTCACCTCCTCTGTCTGCCCCCTTTCACAGGAACTCCTCAGCCAGGCAGCTCGGATCTTGGGATCCGTGGACTTTCTTGGCAATCCCATGGGGCTGTTGAATGATGTTTCTGAAGGGGTTACTGGACTGATAAAGTATGGAAATGTCGGGGGCCTCATCAGAAATGTCACACACGGCGTATCAAACTCTGCCGCCAAGGTAAGGAAAGAAAGGTGAAATCCATTGTCACTGACCTCAGGAGTCCTCCACGTCCCGGTGAGGCTGTGAGGCTGTGAGGAGCTACACACCCGCCCTGCCTCCCCACCCCTTTGACGACCTGGTAGCTGGAGGGGAGTTGCTGTTTGACAGCATGCGGAAGGCCTCTGCTTCCCTCCCCTTCCTGTCAACTCCACGGACTTTCCTCCTAGAGACTGACCTTCTCTAGAGGACTGGGTCCTCTCTGCTTCTTTCTGGTGGAGCCTGTGTGGCAGTGAAATCATAGGGGCACCTGTGCCGTGGGCCATGCGGTTGTAAAGCTGGCTGCAGCATAGAGAGGCTTTACTGGTGGCACATAGGAGGCTGTCTTGAAGGGCAGGTGAGAACGTGGGTTGAACAACACTTCTATATTGCACAGTGATCCTGGTAACGGTGTATGAAGGCTGGGGACTTATTCCTGTTTTCCAAACTCTTGTCTAGAGAGGATAGTTCTTTAGTCAGGTCAGTTTGCAGGATGGTAATTATATTCAGCGGTAGACTGTTTGGCTTGTGGTTCAAAATAGGCAGCAGAGAGGCAGGAGAGACTCTCTAAATCATGGTTGAGAGACAGACTCGGCTTCAGAGTCGGAGTGAGCTTGCATACTTCTGCCTTGAATCACTGCTCATGCAGACCCGGACCTTCACCCCGGCGGCGACAAGACTCGTGACAGCGGTGGTGCAGATTGCCCAGTGTCCTTTCAGCTACTCAACTTGGTATAAACAGATGCACTTAAATGTTCAGTTGTAAAGGCCCAGCTGCGAGATTTTATTGAATTTGATGAAATTCTAACTAACATAGAGAAGCCTCCTTGGTTTTATAAATTGTTTTCTTTGTTACTGTACCCCTGGGCTTTGCTTTTTGAGGAAGAAATGCGCTTATGGTTTATTGAGGGACCTTCCTCAACCTGGAATCGAAACACACCGACCTCATAGGCTCACTGAAAGGATAAAATGAGATAGCACGTTCTGAAAACTTTGAAAAATAGAAGCTGGACAAGAGAAATGGGTCTTCACTCTGACTCTTACATTTGCATCAGTGTACAGTGTTCAGACTTTAGCCACCAGGGAACCATCAGTGCCCCCGAAACAAAAGCCACAATGTTCCAGTCTACGGAGGAGGAGGAGGGTGTCAGGCACGAAGCGTGGGAGAATCAAACTCCATCTGGGCCAGTTTGGCTGTTAGGAACCCTCTGTCGTTAACCTTGATGAGAATGAAGAAGTTGGAAACTTGCCTGTGGCCTCTGCACAGGTGAGACCTTGTGCGGGTTTCTCCAGAGTTTCTCTGTAACATCCTGGTGGAAAGGGTTGGCCCTTTCTTTATTCCCCCTCATTTATGGAAGTCTCTTGTGTTTCTTGGTTCTTCTGCTTCCCCTGGAAAATGGTTTTTGAAGCCCGAGGGCCTGCCCAAGAAGAGAACTGACGCAGAAAGAAAGGACAGAATGCTCCTTATCCCGAGCCTCACCCCCAAATCTATATGAAGGTCCAGGTGGCCCTGGTCAGGCATTTTATTGGATGTCAGGCTTTATATTGTCATTGGATTTGCATGGGGGACTTCCTTCCAGGGCCCAGGGCCTCTTGAATGGGAACCCTGCTCCCCATGTGGTTGGGGTCCTTCTTCGTGTAATTCTCTTGCCTTTAGTAAGCTAATCAGTGTTGGCACCAGAGGCTGCTACTCAGAGGAACTGCTGTGTAAATGTATTTGGATACCAAGAACCCTGGTGTGTTAGAAAAATTAGTCCATATATCTAAGACGAGAAGCAGGGAAACTTAACATTACCATTTCTTGTTGGAAATGGTAGCTCCAGAAGTCAGGTCTGTCAGCTAAATACCCACTCAGGTCATCTGTGACTCCGTATGTATGTAGTTTGGCTAAAGATTTCCATTTTCTTGAAGTTTTGTGGGTTGAAATCAGGCCTTAAATGTTGCTTTGGGAGAATGTTTTGTTTGCTTTTGTGTGTCCACGAGAGGAGTTAGAAGGAAGTGCAGATGACCACAATAATGAACTGTTGGCCTGTGGGAAGTATTCCTCTAAAGAGCGCCTGAGTTCTCATGATTAAAGAAAGGGGTCAGAAGATAAAACTGCACCTCCCCAAGCCCACCGGCCGGCTCCACTTGGCTGCAAAGACCAAAGGGCTTTAGCCTTGGTTCATTGTGCTTGGAGTGGAATGGAAAATCTCCATAAACTTCTTGAAAATAATTAGAAATATTGTATATCTGTGTATTCTTCTGGAGCAAGAATCTCAAGTTTTTATTGGCTTGTCAGAGAGGCTTATGGCTCCCCAAGATCATCCAGCCCTATTACAGACATAGGCTTGTTCATTGAGAGGGAGTGTAGGGCTGGCAGTTGGGGATGATACCTGGGTTCTAACCCTATTCCTGCCTTTAAATCTTTTTATCTCTAAATCTTGAGGTTTTTTTTTTTTTAACCTATGAAAAGATGATGTTAATCTCCCTGCCCCCCCCAACCCTGGTCCCACTGACCTGAGGAGCAAAAGAGATGAGGTATGTGAAAACCTAGTGAGAAGTTAAAAGGGAATTCATTCTGTCACATAAGAAGGTAATAGGTCTGCAGGTCTTACTTGTCTCTGGATAGATGTGAATTATTCACAGCAAATTTTTTATTTCAGGTCCATCATATACGCATCTGGAAGTCTTCATCACAGTTTTAACTGTTACTTAATTTGTTTAATATTAGCCTCAAGGAAATAGGACTAGGAAATAATCTGTACACTTTGTCCCCTTTATTTCTCTAAGCCTTTTCTTCTCATCGTCCAACTCTCAGAAGTCTGCTTATGGATTCCAAATCTAAGGTGTTACGACTTAGGGACTGGGCACCAGGCTGTGAGCATCTGTTCCGTGACTTCCTTGCCTGGATCTTGGCAGAGGACTCTAACCCCGATCTTCGAGTAGAACCTCAAAGATCTGGTCCCCTTCCTAAGGCCATGACAAGACGATCACTGCAAGAGTCCTTTCCAGGAATAGGATTTATTTAAGAAAAGCACAGCATTTCAAATTCCAGAAGCATGTTGGAGGAACAGGTTTCTTTCTGTGGCGTGAACTGCAGAGAGCACACTTTGACCTAGTCAGGTGTCACACAAATATCTGTAGACCTTCTCTTTCAAAGCCAGAGAATTGAGGAGAGGTGCATTGCCTACATTCCCTGTCTTCTGTGGAATCTAATTTCTTCTATCTGTGGTTATTGTGTAATCCTCTCATATATTTACAGGAAAATTCCATAATTATTCTAAAACAAAAAAAGGTTTTTTCGAACTGAGAGAATTTCAGATGTCAACAATAGAACAAATGATTCCATTCTCTTTCCTGGCCCTGTAGAAGCTTAACGTTTGCTCCGGCCAGCTGTTGTTCGGTCTTCCCTCAGGAAGCCAACAACTCTGTAATTTCTTCCAGCAAAGGGGAGGAGCACTTTTGATCGTCACTAATGGAACCCCTGCTCTGTTCTGTCTTGCTTTCCATCCCTCTGCTTGTGTCTTTATCAAGGCAGTGTGGGATGCTTTTGATCATGGGTACCTTTTTGACCCCAGGCATCTTTTGACTTATGTTTATGAATGTAAATATTTTAATAACTTTTCTTTTTTTAACTGTATTTTCATCAAAATCATTAGATATTAGAATTCATGGTTCGGTACTCACTGCGTGTTAGTTTTGCTGGTAACCTTTGCAGTTGTATGGTGGGCTATTTCTTTCTCTTTTGCTTTATGGCAATTATTCCTACCCAGCCCAGATTTCCCAGCTCAGATCCTACAGATCTAAATTTTTGTCAAGGAGATGGGAGTTTTCTCTTGGTTTTGGTTAATACATTTTATTCTGTGCCATTTTCATCATTGTTTTATTGTTTTAAATCAGGTTGGTTTGTTATGAATTGGATAAAGACCTAATAGTTTTACATTATTTCTAGGTGCAAACAGCATTAGTGGGAAAAAGATGGAGGAACAAGGTTGAAACACCCTGCTTCACTGTGGAACCCATACTGATTTATAAACATTTATTGACCACCTTCTATTTGTCAGGCCTTGTGATAGAACTCTTACAGATATGTATGTTAGTCACTGTCCTTCAAATCAGGACACTGAATCTCAGAGAGTTTAATAATTTTCTCAAGGTCACATGACTAGAAATGACAGGGATGGATTTGGAACCAAGTCTAGCTAATTCTAAAGGCCTTGTGTTTTTTCCCTATCTAATTCTAAAGGCCTTGTGTTTTTTCCCTATATAATGTTTTTCCTTTGCGTCTGTAAGGCTTTTTTTCCAGGTACCATAGAGAATATAAACAATTAGTTACTGCTAACTTCCCACCAGAAGCTTACTATCTGACATCACTTTGTTAGCTGGTAAGGAGACTGCCATCATATCATCTGTGTCACAAAGGAGGCCCTCAGGAAATGGTGGGGACGCCTGGGTGGCTCAGTTGGTTAAGCGACTGCCTTCGGCTCAGGTCATGATCCTGGAGTCCCGGGATCGAGTCCCATATCGGGCTCCCTGCTCAGCGGGGAGCCTGCTTCTCCCTCTGACCCTCTCCCCTCTCATGCTGTTTTTCTCTCTCTCTCTCTCTCAAATAAATAAATAAAATCTTTAAAAAAAAAAAAAAGAAAAAAGAAATGGTAGTGGTCATGGTCATTCTTGTGTTAGATTCGTCAGGACCATCACCATCCCTTTGTGGGTAGTAAGAACCTTGAAGATTGCAAACATGGTTTTACTCACGTGGTATCATTTGGTCATGAGAACAACCTGCTCAGTAGATAGGATGGACAGTATTAGCCCCATTATAGAAACGAAGACACTGAGGCCCAGAGAGGTAAGGTGACTTGCCCAGGGTCGGTCAGGTAACTGTAAAGCCAGGAGATGCTCTTCTGCACTAGTACCTCAATTCTCACTTTTATTTTTTTAATTTTTATTAACATATAATGTATTATTTGTTTCAGGGGTACAGGTCTGTGATTCATCAG